CATGCAGTGCCCCACTGCCCCCTAATTATATATGGTTACCATCATGTTTAATTTCTCATCTTAAAATTAAATAATCATTCTATAGTAAAATTACATTCTTAATTTCAAATTTTCATTCAATCTTAAAAAATGTCATTCCAATTTTAAAAATTTCCGTCTTACTTGAAAACTTTTCTTCCAAAAATGGAGTATCCCTTCGTATTTGAACTGCATGCTAGAGATGGAATGAAAGTTTTGATGAGTTCATGAAATATTTTAATTGGACTGTCATTTTAAGTAAGGATTTTCAGTCACAAATAAGTTAATCCAATCTAAATGAGAAGATATTTGTTGTCGTAGAATGAAGGTTTAATTAAAACATTTCATAAACTCGTACTGACTTTCATTCCAGCTTGAACAAATAGATGTGGTTGGAAGAGAAAACTCATATTTAGACGGAAATTTATCAAATAAAATTAAAAATTTTACAATTGGACGAACATTTTAATGATAATTTATAAATATGAAGGATTTTTTTTTAATGGAATGTTTTTTCAACTTTCATTTCTCGTGGGAAGTTTTTTGTTGATTGCCTAAAATATAAGGTGAAGAAAACGCAAGGCTTCCCCCTGCCATGACATCCAAAATTGAACTCGAAAAAACCTGATCTCGTGGCTGTTGAATTTCTTGTTGATGATTTATTCCTTCAGTTGATGAGAGTTAATCTATCGTAAGTACTTGTACTCCTTGTTGTGATTGTGTGGAGATCTCATGAGTTTGGTATTGTTGGTGCTGTGAATGTTGTTTTGCACGCCATATGCGGCTTGCTGTTCTTCATCTCGGTTGTCGGCTCAATCTTCCCTGTTATTTTTGACTCCTTTGTGATCTCCTTGGCAACCTCTTCAACATGGTTTTTGGGACGCTTGCTTGGCGCCGCCTACCAGAACTTTTGTCAAACATGTTGTGAAGGTCGCTTATAAGGAAGCATTAACTCCTCTTCACGCGAATGTGTCTGATGCGCTTCCTCACCTCTATACTCCCCTAATCATGCTATATGTTCATTCCCGACCTATATCGGCATGTCCTATTCTCTCGATGTCACCAGTCCTCCTATTGGCGCAAGGGGAGGATCTCTTATCGTTGTCCGTGTTGTCACAGTTACAGGAGGTTCAATCCCTTCTGCAACGTTCAATGGTGCTGGTCCTTTCTCTACCTCCTTTTGGTTTCCTTTCTTAGGTTTCATCATATCTCCCACTCCTAACTGTTGTAATACCCCATGAGCAGTCTGCACCGGTGTCGGGCCCTTCTCATGGTCCGTTCCCCCTCCAGACGATGCAGGAGGGGGAGGATCTCCTCCAGTTCCACCCATGGCCTGGGGAGGAGCCACAAATTTAGGGTGGACCGTAAGGGGTCCAGCCACTAAAGCCTCACTTTTAATTGGGTTCTGTAAAAGGGTAGTAGAGGGACCATCCCCAAACATTCTGGATGAAGGGGGGAAAGCTGTTCAAGTTGGCAGACATTCCACCGGACCCTGCCTATTGAGACAATGTTTATTCCCAGTGTCGTGTCCATACTAGCGACAATTCCAACACCACGGGGTTTCCTGAGTGACCACTTCGACATTGCACCAACCGTGGGGGGAGAGCACATTGAGGTTCTTAGTGACCCTCATTTTTGGTCTCGGATAAAGGTCGTGATGTTTATTTATTAATATAGGTCTCGCCTTGTTTCTCTCCGGAGGTTAATCTTTAATCACCTCTCTAACTTTCTTGATCACTGTTGCTGTGAGGAGCGACATAGGCACATAAGAAACCCTAACAACTTTTCTCTCCAAAATCTATGAGCCTGCAGCAGTGTCGTCAGCTAGTACGGGGACGGCCCGTTCGCACTCCCGTACGACCGTACGTACGGACCCTCATCGCCCGTACCATCCATACGTACGAACTTTGGGCCCTCCATACGTGGCCTTCCAAGAGGGTGTTAAGGGGGTCGATGAGTTGGGCGGGGTGTCGAGTGTCAGGGGGTACACCCCCATCGAAAAAAAAAACATTTTTCTTTTTTGAGTCTGAGACTCTAGGTGTTAAAACAATATATATGTAAAATAAAGAAAAAACTACGTCGTAGTCAGAGTTACAGTTTGCAGTTGCATTTCGAACTGCGTTTAGCAGTTTAGACAGAGCCCAAGTTTCAATTGCGGTTGAAACTCGGGCTGGCCTTTTCTAGCACTTCAGTCAGGCACATGGTTTTTTTTTTTTTTTTTTTTTTTTTTTTTTTTTTTTTT